TTGTAATACAACATGTAAAATTGATTTTAAGTATGGAAATTGCAAGTTAAATTAAATAACAGTTACTTGAAGTTACTAAAAATTAAAATTACATTTATATTATAACACTCGACTTTTTTATGTTTCAATTGATGCACTTACCGTATATTACAGGAACCAATTAAACCAATTTTAGAACATACCGTCAATCTTTAAATTTATTGCACTTAACATTTTTATATTTTGACTTACTGTTTAATACAATTATCAATTATGGTAAGTACTTACCGTTAATACTATGTTTCAATTATAAAACTTAACATTTTTATGTTTCAAATTATGCACTTACTGTTTACATAGTGCACTTACCGTTCAGTTTAAGCTCTAATTATTAAATAGAATTTAAACTGAACGGTAAGTGCACTTTGTAAACAGTAAGTGTATAAATTGAAACATAAAAATGTAAAGTTTTATAGTTGAAACTTAGTATTAACGGTAAGTACTATAATTGAAAATTGTATTAAACGGTAAGTTAAAATAAACATAAAAATGTTAAGTGCATAATTAAAAGATTAACAGTAAGTGCTAAAATTGGTACTTGAAAAAAAGGTAAGTGCATAAATTAAAAAATAAAAATTCTAAGTGTTATAATTAAAACTTAGTACCAACGGTAAGTGCCATAATGGATAATTGTAATAAACGGTAAGTGCAATATGAAAACGGTAAGTGAAATAATTACTATAGTGCTAAAATTGGTACTTAAAAAAATGGTAAGTGCAGTATGTAAACGGTAAGTGCATCAATTAAAAATGTTAAGTATAATAATTGAATTTTAATTATAACGGTAAGTGCTATAATTGCTACTTATATTATTCAGTAAGTGTATAATAGAATCTAAAATAAACTTTAAGTGTGAAAATTTAACTTTAGAATTGACAGAACTTAGAACGATTGACGGTAAGTACCGTCGATTGTTATTACAATTAATTCCAAATAATTTCTAATGCAGATAATTCTGTTGGATAAAATCTAAAGAATCCGAAATACGCATCTTTCCCATAAATATTAGAAACACTTTTTTTTATTAAATAAAATTAATATTTAACATTTGCTCGAAGACGATATAACTAAACTGTGCTTCCTATAGAGTTTCGTGTTTCTCGATAAAGTGTAAGAGTTTGAAATTTAAGAGGGGGATAAAAACGGGAAAATAATGCAATTTAGAGAACAATTTTGATTGAATTGCGAGGATGTAATTTTAAGAAAGGTATATGTATAATATATACTATATTATAACGAGAGAGAGAGAGAGAGAGAGAGAGAAAAAAAAAGACTTGAAATTCTTGTTTTCCATCACAACAGGTGCTCTGGACGAGTATAAAGGTTTTACAACCGGTGTACCTTCGGTATCGATTTCAAAGCTCCTACCGACGGACAATCACACAGCGGGGGTATGGGGTATCATCTTGTCACGCCATTTTGTCTGCTATGGAAATTTACGAATGAAACAGGTTGCTTGCATTGCCACCTACCCAGTGGGCGATCGTAATGCTTTTAAGTTACTGCTTCTTTCAAGACAAGCTTAAAGCTACCTTTCTACTTTTTATTTACTTTTATTTTATTATATTGTTTTTTTTCAATCATTTCATATAACCGACATTATGACACTTGAATTTTTTTTTTACGCACAAATATAATATTCTCTCACAAAATTCTCCCAAAGCGCTATCATAACAGAAAATATCGTTTTCAATTCAAATATATATTCGTTTATTTAAAAAAAAAATCTACGTAATTCAAAAGAAATATGAATTTTATAAGACTTATTCGTTTAATAATATAATTTATTATAATTGTAATTTAGTTTTTTTTTGACTCTGTTATTTTATAATTGAAAAGTACAAATTACACTAATTATAATATTAGGAAAATAATAATTTTTTAATTTCGTATATAATTAATATACCTTAAAATGAGTCGCATTAAAAAAGAATAAAATTTCAATAAATAATAAATACACAAATAATTAACTGAATATTAAATTCCAACATAACTTTAACGCGTTAAAATATCTTTATCAATGTTATATATACATATATGTAGTTATTTATGTTCGGTGGATAAAAATTATTTTCAGGTACTTATATGCACGAAATCGCGAAAGAAATTGAGCATTAATTAATAACTGGTACAATATTTATATGACAAGATGAATTTTTTTTTTAGTAATTTTTTTTTTAAACCAAAAATTATTAAAAAGAGGACATTATATTTTGTGGTAATTTAGTATCAAGTATTAAGTAAGTTAATGATCATTTGATGCTATTTTAATAAAGCAATAAAATGAAAATAAAAAATACAATATTTAATGAGAGGCCTCTCGTGGTAGGAGGATGTTCTTTTTAATCGTTTCATTACCAGTAATGCGACTCCATATTCGGAGTAAGAGATGAGCTCATTAAATCATCATTTGTTAGCTGTACTTTCTTGAGACCCTTTTAAACTGTTTTTTTTTCTCATTCCACGCCGTAGCCAAGGGGTCACGCGCACGAGTACCGCGCGTGAATTAATTTTTTTGTCCTATGTGAGCGAGTTAATATACGAACGTAATAATGCGCAAGATACTTGACGAAATTTGTCACGCCTTAAGAAGATTGAATGGCGAAAATGTAATTTTAAAGATATAGCATAGAAAATCGTTTATTACATATATATATATATATAACTTTAATGCCGTTAGTAAATATTATAAATTGAAAGTACCATTAATAGTAAAGAGTATTAATTTTTATTGCAACTACTCAATTATAATTATCAATTTTTTTTTAAATTAATAAGAACGGTATAATAATTATAATATTGAATCTTTATAGAAACGGTAAGTTCAATATTAGAAATAATTAGAAAACTAAAAAGAACAGTATGTTTCATAATTTTATCACTCTAGATACGGTAAGTTCAATATTTGAAATGATTTGGAAACTGAAAAGGACGGTAAGTGTTATAATTGACGGTAAGTTCAATATTTCAAACGATCTGAAAACTAAAATGGACCGTAAGTGTTGTAATTAAATCTTCATTAAAACGGTAAATTCCAAAATTGGAAATTATTAGAAACGGTAAGTGTAATAATCAAATATTACTAGAGACGGTAAGTTCAATATTTGAAAATTAAAAAGAACGGTAAGTGTAATAATGGTGAATTTTTATAGAAACTGTAAATTCAATACTTGCAAGTATTTTACAAGTTAAAAGGAACGGTAAGTGTAATAATTTAATCATTATAGATACCTATACGGTAAGTTCAATATTTGAAACGACTTGAAAATTAATAGAAACGGTAAGTGTAAAAATTGAAAATTTACAGAGACGGTAATTATAATATTTGAAACGATTTGAAAACTGAAAAGGACGGTAAGTGTTATAAATAAATGTTTATATAGACGGTAAGTTCAATATTTGAAACGATTTGAAAACTAGGCAAGGACGGTAAGTGTTGTAAATGAATCGTTGTTAAGACGGTAAGTTCAATAATTGGAAATTAATATTTATAGAATGGTTATGCTCCATAATAAGTATTTCTCGGGGACTCTTTTCGAGTGCGTAATATGCCAATAGGGCAAGAGTATAAACGGAAAAAAAAATAATTGGAAATTAATGAGAACGGTAATTATAATAATTAAATCTTTATAAAAATGGTATTTTCAATATTTGAAACGACTTAAAAATTTATAGGAACGGTAAGCGTAATAATTTAATTTTTCTTTACATAAAAAAACCTATTCGGCTAGTATAAATTTATTGTTGTACCGTATCGAATTTAATTTACGCCGTTAATTATTTCTTATTGCTACCGACTTTTTTTTTAAACTTTCACATATAGTTTTCACTATCGATTTTGTCAGTATCATCTCTCACAGAAATAAAAAAAAAAAATTTTTTAAGACATTAAGGCCAAGACATGATTAACGGTAATTTCAATATGTACCTGCTAATTATTAGAAATAATAAAAACGTGTCCGAAAGTTTCTAATGACATATTATAGAAAAAATTCTATTTAACCATATAGAATGGAAATTATATACGAGATAATGACAACTTTAGAGAATGAATTTCAAAATATTTTATAAAATCAATTTTTTGCAATCGTCATTAGAACCTTCGGTTTTTTTTCATCATTATAGAGGGACTTTTTTCTATTATATTAGGCGTTACCTTGTCGAAATGTTTACACGTTTTTTTAGATGTTGCCCATAATAAACACGTGTCTAATTTAAACAGGTGAGATTCTCAAATCTAATCTATATATATATATATATATATATATATATATATATATATATATACTAGAAAAAGGCAGCTGACTGAAAAATTACGAAATTAACTTTCATCATTAACACCTGACTTATATATATATACTTGTTTTCACGTGGAGAATGGAATGCGATAAGAAAAGAGTGTTGAATTAGAATCGTGTGAATGTAGTCTTTACAGCTCTATTTGCAATAGTTTTAGACGGAATAGAAAAAGATTGATACAGAGAGAGAGAGCAGGTGTATTTCAAGGTTTGGTCAAACCATTACTGTGGATTTAACTAGAAACAAATTACGACTTGGGATCGTTAACTGACATTGCAGTTAAGTTTTGAAACGAATTATTTTATTTATTAGCATACCCCACGAAGCACTCTGATGTTTATTCAGGAGAAGTTGACTTTGGAATTAAGACTCAAACCTCTCTTAGATTTTCACTGCCTGATATTTAATTCAAATGTAAATTTATTCATACCATAAGAAACTTTTTTTTTAATTTCAGTCTTTTTTTAAAGGGTGATAAAATATTGCAGTATTTAAAATTTTAGAGTAGAATTTTTGATTTCTTTAAACTTAAAAAAAAAATCAGTTTGAGACCCTAACATAACCAAAATTTTTTACGAAATTAGTATTTTTGAAATTAGATGAAAGTATTCGATTCCTAAACTATTTTAAATACAGGATATGAATAAAAAAAAATGACTCACCGATTGGAGAATCCCACGTCGTAGGATTTATATTTCCATAGTTGTTTATCCTCCATCATCCTTCCGGTCCTTTTGATTCATTTGGGCACTAATAACTGAAAAATAAAAAATTTATTCACTAATTAAATTAATTAAAAAATCATTTATCAAAAAATAATTAATATTTGTTTAAAAATTAGTAACTATCAAATTAATAATTCAAAGAAAATTTTAAAGTAACTACCAATTTATCTTTATCATAGAAACAGATTTTGGTCCTCAATCTCTAACCTTTGTCTCAACTTTACAAATACACTGTTACAAAATTTAGTGTTTATCTATATACAACTTCTAATCAATACAGTACTAAGAATAAACAAATCTATTAATCAAATAACAATTTAACAAGAGAAGATTATCAAATTTAAATCAATTAAATTTCAACATTTCGAATGAATTATAAATATTTACGAGGAAAAAAAAGAAAAATTCCTATAAGGAAAAAAAAAAACTAAAAGGAAATGCCCCATAAAATGTGAAAAATGAAATTTCCTAAACGAGCTTTTAAAAATGAAAATACAAGATAATATTCTTCTTGGTCGGTTGTACCTAAACAACAAATCCTTGAAAATCCTTATATTCGATGAAAGAAACAACCGTCTTCCCTTGACTAATTTTATCTGAACAAGTCGCGACGTCAATATATATCCGCTGACTGGGTTTTAAACCATCGGCGGGTAATTAGACCCAAGAAAAAAAAAAAGAAGATCCCAGGTATCTCTCATTTCCAAGAAGTTGAAGTGTATCTTTTACAGAGAACAATGGATTTGCTCGAGGTGTTTTGGAGTATCGGTGACACGGGGAGAGAAAGATGGTCGAGCCACTTCAAGTGGATTGAGTATGGGCATTATTGACTATGGGGCAAGTCAACCGTTTTCTACCCGAGGGGGTCCCACTTCACATTTCTCTTTCTTTCTCTCTCTCTATGCACCTGTGTTCCGTTTACATTTACAGTTTTGCCGTTTACCGCACACAGCATCCAGAGAGACTTTATACCCACAGGCACTTGAAATGACAGGGACCCACTATAGCGCACAATCATTCCATGACCCATGGGGATAAAGCACTCTTCAGTCACTAAAGTAAGTAATAATGCGCCTTTGCCTTACAATTCCAAAATAGAACCCTATAAAGGCGTGACAAAAAATACCATTTCTACAAAATTAACAACCTCCAAATGTCTATATAATACCTCAATTTTTTTTTTCAAATCACAAATGATTTTTCAACCCTAGGGTACAAGTTTTTTTATACAGGCTGGAAAATAATTTTTCTAATTATTATTAGATTATTATTATTATTATTTATGACAGACAGAAATTAAAAAGATGATTTAAAAAAAACTACTTTACCCAACATTGGACCCATTTTAAAATCTACTGTCAATGAATATTGAACCTATTTTGTCTCTACTTTGAAATTACTTTGAGTTTGTATTTAGTTCATATTTAATTTATCTTGAATCTACTTTGACTCTACATTGACCCTAGTTGGAATCTACATAGAATCTATATGCACCTAATCAAGAACCTCCTTTGAATCTACTTTGACACTAATTTGAATCTAAACTAGCCCTACTTTGAACCTACACTGAACCTACTATTAATCTACTTTGACACTAATTTGAATCTAAACTAGGCCTACTTTGAACCTACACTGAACCTAATTTTAATCTAAGTACTTTGACACTAATTTGAACCTAAATTATATCTACATTAAACCTACTATCAATCTACTTTGACACTAATTTTAACCTTTATTAGACCTACTTTGACACTAATTTGAACCTTAACTAGGTCTACTTTGAACCTATATTGAACTACCTTCAATCTACTTTGATACTAATTTGAACCTAATTTAGATCTATACATTGAACCTACTGTCAATCTAATTAGACACTAATTTGAACCTAAATTAGTCCTACTTTTATACTAATTTGAACCTTTATTAGACCTACTTTGACACTAATTTGAACCAAATTTCAATCTACTTTGATACTAATTTGAACCTAAACTAGGTCTACTTTGAACCTATATTGAACCTATTGTCACTCTATTTTGGAACTTCATTGGAAACATATTATAATAAATTTTTACAATATGTATATATATATATATATATATATATATATATATATATATATATATATATATATATATATATATATATATATATATATTTTTTACTGAGGATACAAGGATCGTATCGTTTAAACTAAAAAAACATCTAAGTTCAATATTATTCAGCAAAAGGATTCTAAAATAACAAAAAAAATCAGGATTTACATTTTTAACATTTTTTAAGAAAAAAAAAAATTCTGGCCCATGGGGGGATCGAACCCGCGACCTTCGCGTTATTAGCACGACGCTCTAACCAACTGAGCTAATGGGCCAACTGTATGACTGAGCTCTGAATGCTTTTTTAAATTACAGAAATAAAATAAAAGAATGTGAAATTTTAAGAATATTATTATCTACCTATAAGATTAAAATGCATGGGAAATATTCTTAAATAGGCCCCATAAAAAGATATTCTTAAATTTAGAATATAATTTTTTCAGTTGTAACCTATATTAAACCTACATTGAGCCTACTTCAGACCTATATTGAGACTACTTTCAAACTACATTGAAAATTAGACTTATAATCTATATATTAAACCAAAATTTTATCTTTTTGCACCCCATTTCGAAATTACAATTAAACTATAAACCTCAAAATCTGAATAAGTTAAATTTCACTTAAAATTAGAATGTTTCAAAAGTCTTTCGCGTATAGAAGAATAAGAGTATATATCCATTTAAAATTTGGAAAAAATAAATAATGAAAATATTCTTGAGGGTTAAAAGTGCTTTTAACTCAACCTTTATATACAATACACAAAGAAATTAGTTCAGGTTCTTAGTCTGAGTGGACAACAGGTGTACTTAGAGAACTGGGTATCAGTTTCAAAGCGCACTAAGAGAACGAGAGTTTGGTCCATTGGATGTTAACATCATCAGAGACTATGCGGCTTTTGTGTTGGCAAGTGAAGGAGAAGAAGAAGAAGAAGAAAATTTACGAACAACTTGTATAGTTCCTATAACATCAGAAATTGATTTATGTGTTTCTCTCGTCTTATGAGACGGGCGAGGGTTTTACTCGTGACGACTTTCCCTCTTTTTTTTCCCCCAAACGAGGACCCAAGGGACTTTGAAACAATCGCAAAATATGAGGGTGGAAAAGTTCAAGAATCCTTGACGCTCTCCAAAACTTAAAGAATTTTTCGTTATTGATATTTTACCTGCTTTAAGCTCAAGACAAAAGGCAAAAAAAATGTTTCTTCCACTCATTGTTTCGTTTTATATATAGGTGTCTATAAAATAAGAAATACCTCAAGAGTTTACAACTAGGTATTTAAAAAGAAATTTTTTTTTATATATACCCAAAATTATTACCAATCATGGGGGGGGGAAACAGAAGTTTTAAAAAAAATATATAAAGAGAATTTGGGAAATATATTTACAAAAAAAACGTTGTAACTCAAAAAAAATTGTCTCGAAAAGAAAATAATTGACTTTAATTTATCCCCATACTGTGTGACGTGAGGTTTTTCGATTTCGAAAATTATAAAGTGAAAGAGAAAAGAAAAAATAAAATAAAAGAAAGAATACATCAGCAGGTGACTTGAAGAGGACACCTCGCGAACGATTCCGGGTGGTAAGGTTTTATATGCGGTCTTTGTGCCATTTGCCAAAAGCAGTTATCCAAGACATTTTGCAAAGTGCCACGGTAACATGCGGCTTTTGCATGGAATGCATCCCTTAACACAAAAGGCAGAAGACCTTTTACCGTTTCTCTTGTTCTTCAACCTTTTTTTTCTTCTTCTATTTTTCTCAAATTTCTTGTTTTAAAGAAAAGAATAAGAATTGTCACGCGAGGCGTGGTCCTCTTCGAAAAATCTTCTCTTTTATTGTCTACTATGACAATATGCATTTATTACAAATTCACTTCAAAAGTAAGCGGCAAAAAAAAATTTTCCATTCACTTCAAAAGTTGATTATTATAATAATTTAGTTATTCTAATTATATAATATAATTAAATAAAAATAATTAACAAACAAAAGAGGAGTTTTTTTTAAATTTCAAATGGGCTAATAATTAATTTGTCACATGGAACAATTCTTGGTTCATGGAACTATCTAGTTTCTAGATACTGAAACTATATAGAAACAAACTAGTTTCTAAATACTACAACTATTTTGAAACTGTCCAGGTTCTAGACACTTTAACTATGTATTGAAACTATCCACGTTTTAGATACTTAAATTATATGGAAACTGTCTAATTTCTAGATACTTGAACTATATTGAAACTATCTACTTTTTAGATACTTGAACTGTACGTAAACTATTTAGCTTCTAATTACTTACACAATATTGAAACTATCATAGTTTCTAAATACTTAAACTGTATGGAAACTATCTAGTTCGTGAAACCTAAACTATATTGAAACTATAATAAAACTATATAGTTTCTAGATACTTAAACTAATATGGAAACTATCTAGTTTATAAATACTTAAACTATATGGAAACTATTTAGTTTCTAGATACTTCAACTATATGGAAACTATTTAGTTTCCAGATACTTAACCTATATGAAAACTATCTAGTTCTTCAGATACTTAAAATGTATAGAAACTGTCTAGTTTCCAAATACCTAAACTATATTGAAACTATATAGTTTCTAGATACTTAAACTATATGGAAACTATCTAGTTTCTAGATACTTAAACTATATGGAAACTATTTAGTTTCTAGATACTTAAAATGTATAGAAACTGTCTAGTTTCCAAATACCTAAACTATACTGAAACTATCTAGTTTCTAGATAGTTCTACTATGTAGAAACTATCTTGTGCATCTATATTATTTAGAAATGTTACATAAAATGTGGGACCAAATGAAAATTAGATCAGTATTGGACCTAATATACATATTCAAAAGAATTCTTACACATCGTACAAAGAAAGGATTTACAAACAAAAATGAAAACAGACGAGGAATTAGAACGTC